TACAGCCAGTATTATCGCCAAATCATCATATGATTAGGTTCATATAAAAATAATCATATGGACTGTAGATGACATAGTCCGTCACTACACTATGTGGGGCCGACGCACTATCAGTTGTGATGTTTGACTCCTCGTCCTCACCATACGAAGCTGCACATGCACAGGCACCAACCCCCAATCCACATCTCATCTGTGAACTTCACCCTTCGCCAAGAAGTAAGCGATTGAAATCCCTGATTTTGTTTCTCAAGCGACTCAGTGCTAAGATTCACATAACCTCGGCGTTTGCCTTTTTATTTTTTCCAATTCCAATGAATCAATAAACACGTGTACATCTAACTATGTAAGACTAGCCATAATGGAAGTAACTTCAGCAATAACATCAAATCCAACTCAGCATTTTTGCTTATGTGGCAATGATTTAATAAGGAGAGATGTAGTTTCAGTAACTTAGCTAGTTACTGTAACATCACATGTCTCAATACAATATGATTCTGTAACCTAATAAATGAAGCTTTGTATGTTATCACACTTATATTACTACCCACTATTAAGATAGTAACATAATCTAAGAAAATGTGTATGTTACTAGTGTATGTTACTTTTTATTGTGGCTAGTCTAAAGTTACATGCTGACAAAATTAAAGTACGTCAAAATCGTTGTTCTCTGGCAATTAATTACATCGTCCGACAGTTGCTGGGCTCTTCCTGGCAGACGACCATGTGCGGCGGCTGGTACTGGTGGTGGTAGTAGCTGGGCCGGTAGAAGTAGTACGGCGGCGGGTACGCGGGCACAGCAAGCACCGGCTTCGGATCATCCTTCTTCTCCTTTTTCTCCTCCGGCTTCTTCACTTCCTCGACCTTGATGAAATGTTGGTGTTGGAGGCAAGGCTAGAATGGTCTGGGTAGCAACTGATCGATCTTTTGCAGACGCAAATGAGCCAAGTGTCTAGCTTGTGATGATTTGGTGAAGGGGATAGCTGCCTTATACACATGCACGCAGTGGGCAGTTGAGCTCGCAGTGAGTAGACTAATACAAGTGCCCTAATGGTCAAGTAGAGGTAAGCGCGTCCTGATCACAGTCACATGTTCTCCTTGAATTTTCCAATCGGAGAAACATTAAACAATGACGAGATCTTAATTCCAGGATGAGGCGACCCACCCAATTATTGTCGATTGGCCACGAACGTTGCAGGCTTCTCCGAAGACGCGGTTGCGGACATAACCACCTAGACCCAGTCGATGGATCGGTTACTTAACATTAACATATTAGCATGAAACGGTGATCATGGTTGGATGGTTAGAGAGACTGTGGTATCCCAGTCCATCAGGGTTTAAATCCTCGTACTCGTATTTATTTCTGAATTTATTTCAGGACTTCCAGCGGCGCATCTGAACAGTAACATCTGAAAAAATAGTAAACAAATTTAAAAGGTTCTAAACTTCTTTTGTGATAAACATTGATGAATGTTTTAACTGCTTGTAAATTTTCACAGTCTTGTGTCAGCTGGACCCCAACTAGTCACACCCCAAGAGGGTATGTCATGGCACAAGGCGGGGGGCGACCAAATCCAGTCGAAGATGAATGTTAAGCGATGATGTGCTCAAAAATTGCTCGAGCATATCACTTTTTGTCGTGAGCAATACATTACAAGGCTTAATATTGTTTCTAGAGAGTGGCATTACCCAACCACATATCCTCACATAGACAATATATATTCTGGCAAATCTGGTTAAACAAATATGCTGCTCTTTCAGTTCACAAATATAAGATGTTCTAATTTTTTCTGAATTAGATGTGCATACACATGTTGTAGTGTCTTTGTTTACTCATTTCAGTCCATATTAAAATATCCAAAACATCTTATATTTGCGAACGGAGGGAGTAGCTCATTCATTAAAAAATCATTTCTTTTTCATATATGGGATAGTGCCTATTCATCAACTTATTGTTGTATGTTTCATTGTGTCATGTGTACTTACATATGATTGTGTTCTTTCAATGATTTAAGCATTGAAGCAACCGTGACATTATTGAGACAACCATGGACCTTTCTTGGACTCGTGGCGCCGATATTGTGAATCAATATATGATGATTTAGGGCATCTTCAACGCCAACCCGTAAATTTCCTCCTACATCCGTCTATAGACAAGGAAGACCAGTCCACGGGCACGAATGCGGAGGCGGTCATCCAACGATGTCCGCATACATTTCAAATACTATCCGGACTAAACGGACAAAATTCGTGTAAACAGGGCCGGATTTTCATGTAAACCGGAAGAGAATCGTGCAAACACAACGGTTTTCATATAAACATGATGCAATTCATCACATTTTAGACATACTTCAACTAAAAATGAGCCCGACTCTGGAGGTATAATTAATTTACATAATCTAAATGATTACCGGTGCCCGTTCCCCGTGTCCAGCCATGAGCCATGAGCCCTGAGAACTGAAACTTTGCCTTCTTCAGTTTCGCCTCGGCGCTCTCTAGCTCCGCCTCCCTAACTTCTACGTCCAGAGCCCCGGGAAGTGAAGTTGTCCGCCTCCACCTTGCCACCAAGCGGCTAATCGGCCAACGATGTTCAGCCCACCAAACTTGGCTTCAATGGGAGGGAAGGAGTGGTGGCCTTCTTGGGACCCGAGCAGCGGTGACTTACCATGCACTACTCTTCCTTGTTGCCGACGACGCCCACGGACGTGACGGCTTTGTGGTCGTGGCGGTGGGGCGCGACCGGGGCGGAGCCGACGATGTCCTCCTCCTTGCCGGTCTTGCTCCACACCTCGTCCGCCGCCTTGTTGAACTCCTTGTAAGCAACCTCGAGTTTCGCCTTACGTTAGCGGTACCGCCAGCTGGCGAGGCTGATCTCACGGGCGGAGCGCCACGACTCGAGTAGCTCCGCTTGCTCCGCCATGTCCGCGTCCGGCATGATCTTCCTGCCGGCATTGAGCCGCTCCTCCGCATGCTGGTGCTCCTGGAGATGCTAGAGGTTGTAGGCGGCGTCGGCCTACGCCTCCCGGATCTGCTCCTCCCGTTCCTCGCACACCATGTCCATGTAAATGGCGGCCATCTCCTTCTGCTCCGACGACAGTCCGTCCCAGAGAGCTTTGGAGCGCGAGGAGGGCATGGTTGGAGTGGTGCGGAAGAGGACAAAGGGACCATAGGAGGATGAATGCGGCTATGGCTGGGATGCAGTTTAGTATATACCGGGCGAATGATAATGGTGGGCGGCAGAGGAACGGACGGATGGCTCCGGAGTAGGATTGTCGGCAACCACGTGCATTAATGTGGGCGGCAGAGAAACGGATGGACAGTCGTGGTGTTATTTGAACGCGGAGCAGTCGCCTGCACCGTGAAGCGGTGCGGGTGGTTCTCTCGGTCGGCGTGCTGCTTCAATGTGGCAGCGATCCAGACGCCAGCAAAGCCCCCCCCCCCACCCACCCACCTACCCACCCACCTACACACATTTTTCTTCGGTATGCGAGAGAAATTGCGTCTGGTCGCCCTGCGAATCAATACATGCACACGTTGGATGCCACAACACGTACAGACATCATGGTCCAAATATATACGGACGGTTTGAGGGTCGGCATTGAACATGCCCTAGCGTTCATAATCGGCAAATGATCAATATATGATGGCCTAGCTGTCATAATCTGCAAATTCCGATGGTCCACAAACTATTATATTTCAGACAGCGGTACGTCCTTAGCAAACAATAGGAAACGTTGCCAACTACACGTCTACACCATTAAATTGGCCATTGTGTTCAGCGGTGACATTTTCATGAACGCTTGATCCAATTCTTCTTTGGGCCCTGAAGTTAGTCGACATATTCACAACTTTGACCATCTTACTTCTTTGCAAAGATACGGTTGAAGATACTACTACTACTCTACTAGGTGTGTACAATAGTAAGAAATTCAGACAAAGTCACCAGAGACTACTTCAGTACTGGTTTACAGTCTGACTCTTCTCACGGTTAATTTGTTAGGTTGTAGTTCTATTTCTGCTGTAAATGTAAAACCAGAGCAACTGCGCAGCACTCTAATTACTGTGCGGTCTGTCATTTCCGGGCTCCTATAGTTATGTTGTGGAATTGGTTGCTCTGGTTGTATTGGGATTTCCAACTATTCCGTAAAGCTAGTATTAGGAGCTCGAAGTTTACTCTAGAGAGCAAACATTCCTAAATCCCGATCGATAGAGCAGTCTGGTTGCCGTGCTCGCTCCATCTCTGCAGTTGGTGGCCAATACTTTTGTTTAGAATTGGGAATTGTGGGGATGTGGACAATCTGATGCCAACAGTCTTGTACTTTTGTTACCGTCACGAGCTTGTGGTCAGTAATTTGGTTACTCTACTCTCGTCGCTGACCCGGCCCACCCCACTAACTGATGCAGCAAGACGAAGAAAACCGGGCCGAAGAAAACCAGGCCACTGTAAGAACATTGAAAGGAAGGTAGAGGGCCACTCGACTGCTGTGAAATCGGTGAAGAATTTTGAGTCTCTTTTCCTATGAAACTCTATGAAATCGCTGCAGACCTGAAACTATGGGTTTTGACAGTGCAGATCTTATTCAGTTTTTACGGGACCGCGGTTACATGGACCGCGGTTACGGGACCGCGGTTACCTGTATGTACTATCGTGCTGTCCTGTTTGGCTCCTCGTCCTCACCAGTCACCCTACACATCGGGCACATGGCCCAGCCCCAAACCACATGTCACATGTGGTTTATGAATGAACTTCATCTTCACCAAGAAGCAAGCGCCTGAGAACTGAGAATCATATAACCATGGAGTTTGCTTCGATTTCAAACTGGAAATTACCCAGACGAACTCGTAAATATATTGATACAGTATCTCTCGTCTTTTTCATTTCTTTCAATGAATTAATATACACGCGCGCATGTAGCTATTTGTAGTTGCTGACAAAAATCAAAATTAAAAGCACGTAAAAATCGCTCTCTCGCAGCTACATGCATGGTCCGGCAGTTACATGGTCAGAAGTAGAGCGGGTACTGGTGGGGGTAGTAGGAGCAGCTGGGCGGGTAGAAGTAGTACGGCGGCGGGTGCACGGGCTCTGGCTTCGGGTCCTCCTTCTTCTTCTCCTCCGGCTTCTTCACTTCCTCCACCTTGATGATTTGGGCGTGGCCGAGCTTCTTGCGGAGGCAGCTGACGAGGCACACCGGGTCGACGCCGTCGCCGACAACCTCCAGCTGGTCCCTGGCGTCGCCGGTAATCTCCATCGACGTCACCCCGGCTGCTCTGGCGGCCATTGTCAGTGCTTTGGACCGTCGTTTGTCGCACGACAAGCTCAACTGGATGACAATCTTTTGCTGCAACAAGAAGAAGGAGAAAAACAATCGATCAGTGGTATGCTTCAGCTTCAGAGTAATGTATTGCTTGCTCAAAATTAAGCTAGGTGCTAAACAAAGCAACACGAGAATGGGAGCAGAAACTGAATAAGTTCCTCACCTTCATTTTGGGCGCTGCTGGTTCGGCAGATGCTCCCTATCAATGAGAAATAGAAACTCGGAAAATGTTGCCGTTCAAGCGAGGCCACTGATCGATCTTCCGCAGTTGGCGTGGGTGTCTAGAGGCAGGAAGTGGCTTGTGATGATTTTGTGAAGGGGATGGATGCAGCCCCTGTCCTTATATACTGCACAAGCAAGCACTGGGCGTGGGCGTAGGAGCGATCCAACGCAGATTCGTAGCAGCAGCAGCACTGCAGCAGTTGAGCTCCGAGTGAGTAAACAAGTGTCCACCAACTGAGCAAGTAGCCATGCATGCATGTAAACGCGTCCTCGTCACATGCTCTCGGTCGAGTCCTCCGATCACACTGGCATTAGACAATACCGGCGTAGACCGACTCCATCAATGATCGGTAATGCTATTCCTACGCAAACTGTACGGAGTAGATTGCAACCAACCCGTGATCTTTGCTAACCATACGCTGATGGTGCTGGGTGTAGTGTGCGTAAAAAGTACGTACAACTTTTACGTACGAATGGCACTGCTCATCAATGATATATATTTTTGTTTCTGAAATATGCACTGGTGCAACGAAGGGGTTGCGAAGGGAATCTTGATTTCATCTGGCCTCACTTCATCTTCAAGACTGACCGGCAAACCACCCACATCTATCCGGACCGTAAAAATCATCCAACATGGATATGTATCGTCTGTAAGGTGCTTTGGACCGTTCTCAAGCCCGCGTCTGACCGCCCTAGCCCATCCACAACCCCCCACCCGCCTCTCACACGCTTTTCTTTTGATGAACATGCCGCTTACCGCCCTGCATTCATGCCGTCCCAGAGCAAGCAACGGCTGACATTGATGCCGCGCGATGTGACCGGAGGGAGGGCGGCGCTGACCGACATCACTTTTTGGCAACCGCCGCTTCAATGCGGGCGCAGCTTCCTGAGGAATCAACTCCGGTTGTTACGCCGCATTGAAGCGGGCTGACTGCCCCTTCGCCTAGCCTGGCCACGGGTATATAATCCGTGCTCCGGCGAAGCACAGAGCCGCAACACCCTTTCCCCGAGTAACGCCCCGCTCCGCCTCCCTGTCACGCACCTCACCGAGCCCTTCCTCCTCTCCGATGCCAGAAGCGATGCCGAAGTCATGGTGCTCCGCCCCGGCAGGCGGCGTCGGCGGAAGCTCTTCCTCCGGTGGGTCTCGGCGCCGCTGCCATCGCTCTCCGGGCCCTTCGGCATCCACAGCGGTCGGCTCCTCCACCCAAGAGGAGATCGGCATCTCCTCCAGCGAGGACGAGGACCAGGCCGCGCAGGAACAACCGGAGCAGTCGTCGTCGCATCGGCCCCGCCTCCTCTCGGAGGCCACGGTGACAGACGAAGAATTCGTCCGTCGGATCGAGTTGCTGACGGAGCATTCGCTTCGTCAGATGGGGCCATCACCAACGCACGTCATGTTGGAGCTACCGTCCCCGCCGCACAACCACGTGAAGCGCGAGCCGACGTCCCCGCTCCATCCGGTAAACGACGAGCCCATCTCGCACCCGTGCAACCGCGGCATCCACATTGGATGCCGCGTCAAAGACGAGCCATCGTCGCCCCTGCCCCCGCGCAACAGCGGTGTCCAAACCAGGCGCCACATCAAGGACGAGCCAGCGTCCTCCCTGCGGTACGTCGCTCCACCATGCCTCCAACATCGTGGCGTGAAGGAGGAGCTGCAGCCCACGATCGCGAAGGCGCATGGCCGCATCGTCCACTACCTCGGAGGAGATGGTTACCGCGATGCCTCCGGCTCTCAGGCCGTGGTCTCCGAGGCGGAGCGCGCGGCGAGGCGGCAGACGAGGTACGACCGGTGCGTTGCCGGTCGCCGCTCCGCGTTCGCCAAGAGTGACGTGGAGCCAGAATGGGTCCAGAACGACCCAGACTTCGCCGCCGCGTGGGCACTTGACCGCTCCGGACCACCGCGAAGAAGGCCACCAGGCGTCGTTGCCGCCTTCACGGCGAGCTCGCTAAGATCGGTGAGGAGTGGTCGCTTAGGGACTGCTCCGTGAACGCCGGATGCGGCAAGACCGCCGCCATGGCTCCAAAGGCCATGTGAGCAGTGGTCGTGGCGCACTCTATATAAGCCACCCCCTCCTCCGAGACAAGGGTTCGCACCTCTATAACTCATACACATATAATCCAGTCGACCGCCTCCGGGCTCCGAGACGTAGGGCTTTTACTTCTTCCGAGAAGGGCCTGAACTCGTAAAACCTTGCGTCCTTACAACCTCTCCATAGCTAAGACCTCGCCTCTCCATACTTACCCCCCTACATCACTGTCAGAGTTAGAACCACGACAGTTGGCGCCCACCGTGGGGCCAGGAGTCTTAGCGCCTAGTTTGAGAAGTTGCGATTTTTTCCGATCTCCTTGATCATGGTTTCGAGCGGAGCTTTGGTGGAGGGCCGTGAGATCCGTCTCGGCGCGCTCACGTTCATCACCGACGACTCCGCTTGGCTTCAGGAGGCTCCACTCGACGTCGACGCGCTCCCTGTCCGTGGGGCGACGCACTTTCGTGCATGCGTCCGTGGTGTCCTCCTGCGGCAGCCGTCGACCCAGTATCGGTCGGCTTCCATGGCATCTCCCTGCCCTGTTTCTCGCCGGCACAAGCGCTCCGGTCAGTCGAGGCTTCAGAGGTGGGTGAGGCATGCGGTTGCCCGCCAGTCGGCCACCCCACAAGTCGCAGCAATCGAGCCCGACGAATCCCTCTACGGCCTGTTCGACCTGTCGACTGGCTCCGTAGAGACCGCATCCGAATGCGACAGCAGTGACCCAGCTGCAGAGGTTTTCGTGATCGATGGGCCACACAGTCCTCCCGGTTTCCCCCGCGCTGATGGAGGCGCGGATGGGGGCGACCCGTCGCGTCCTCACGAGGAGTATCTCCCCAAGCCTCTCACGTCATTGCAATGGGAGGAACTTCGCCGCCGGAACATGGATGCACTCCACACTCCTATCGTTGGAGAAACCCCCGAGGTCCGAGCCTTGGAGGACGCGCGCTTGGCTAACTTGGCCGAGCGCACTCGACTGGAGAATCTCCAGCGAATACTCAACGAGCGAGCGCATCAACGGGCTCTAGAATCCAGTCGACGTCAACTCCTTCCGCCCCCGCAGGTATATCGTACTCCAATTCAGAATTTGGCGGCTGCGGCCCGTATAACAGAGTCGATTCAGCCCTCCCAATCAGAGGCTGGCAGAGGCTTGTTGCAAATCAGAGCGTTGCTCCGGGCAGCAGGAGACTAGAATTCCGCTGTTTCTCAGTCCCGGAACAGGATCCACAGTCGATCCATTGCAGCGGATATAGTCCAGTCGGCTCACAGCCCAAGATCGCCTCCGAGGCGTGAGGGACGTGGAGACCGGCGTGATCAGTACAGAAGGGATGAGCAGTATGATCACTGATTCGATCATGATGATCGATGTCGAGTGCCAACCCCTCCCCCGAGGAGTGGATCATATGTGCCTCGACAGCAGGAGGACAGACGCCCTCATGGTGTTGGGCGGAGAATTCCAGTCGACCCCAGGGAACCAGGCTTTGATGCGAGATCCATTCTCGTTCAAGGTTTGGTCGACAGGAATAGAGCTCACAGAGAAGGCCACGACAGAGATGCGCCTACCAGTAGCAGAGTACATGCTTCAGGGCCAGAGTGTTTCAGTCGAGCCATCAGAGCCGCTGTAATTCCTCCCAACTTCAGGTTGGTGACTGGAGTTAGTAAGTTCACCGGTGAGTCCAAGCCCGATCCTTGGCTCGAAGATTACCGAGTGGCTGTCCAGATTGGCGCTGGGAACGATGAGGTAGCCATGAAGCACCTGCCTCTCATGTTAGAAGGCTCAGCCAGAGCGTGGCTGAATCAGTTAGCACCCAGCAGCATTTACACTTGGGAGGATCTCTCCCGAGTGTTTGTCACCACATTTGAAGGAACGTGCAAGCGACCTGCAGGCCTTACGGAATTGCGGTCTTGCGTGCAGAAACCGAATGAAACTCTGAGGGATTACATCCAGAGATGGATCACATTGCATCACACAGTTGAAAATGTACCAGATCATCAAGCAGTTTGTGCCTTAAAGAAGGCGTTAAGTACAGAGAATTGAATCTAAAGTTCGGTTGAACCGGAGAGATGTCTCTGAATCGGATGATGGAGATTGCCACCAAATACGCTAATGGTGAAGATGAGGATCGACTCCGAAGTGGCAAGCATAAAGCAGTCGCCTAGGAAACCGTAGGAAATTCCAGTCGAAAACAGAAGCGGAAAGCCGAGCCAGCCGCTCCTGGGGAGGCCCTGGCCGTAGCCCAGGGAAAATTTAAGGGAAAACCCAAAGGACCTTGGAACCCCAAAAAAGTTAAAGACCAATATGGAAATGATGTTTTGGATCTACCGTGTCACATCCACACCAAGAAAGATGAAGAGGGTAAACTCATTTACCCAAAGCATACCACTCGACAGTGTCGGCTTCTGATCCAGCAGTTTCAGGGCAAGCAGTCCAAAGATAAGGAAAAGGAGTCGGACAAAGTTGAGGACAAGGAAGACAGTGACGATGGGTACCCCCAGGTCAATTCCACCCTGATGATTTTTGCTGATGTTGAGAGCAAAAGTCGACTGAAGGTTATTAACCGTGAGGTAAATATGGTTGCTCCGGCAACACCCAATTATCTGAAGTGGTCCCAGACTGCCATCACATTCAACCAGTCTGATCACCCTACGCACATTGCCACCCCTGGGAGGCAAGCTCTGGTGGTCGACCCAGTTGTTGAAGGCACTCGACTGACCAAAGTCCTGATGGATGGAGGAAGCGGTTTGAACATACTGTATGCAGAAACATTGAAAGGGATGGGCATTCCGATGTCCAGGCTCAGCACCAGTAACATGAGTTTCCATGGAGTCATTCCTGGGAAGAAAGCTGAGTCACTCGACCAAATTGCTCTTGATGTGGTTTTCGGTGATTTCAAGAATTACTGCAAGGAAAAGTTGACAT